TGCCACTGACACTTCAAGCACCATTGGATCAGCCGGATCATACGGCCCAAGTGGCAGAGCAGCTTGCACGGCACCGTGAACCTGTTGCAGAGCCTTCTGTTGTTCTGGGCCCCACTCAATACTAGCAGTTTTCTGAGTCACTTGATAATCAGGCTGAAGCAACACACCCAAATGAGAGATATGTTGCCTCCAAAATCCAAAGGGGGTCACCAGTCATTTTGCCTCCTTTTTAGTTGTTGGGGAAGCCAGATATAATGACTTATCCTTCACTTTAGTAGGAGGATCTCAACATGCCCCATACCATTGGACCCCTAGAAATTTCTCTGAGATGGAAGGTGTGTGAATTTTTGTTGGGTTAATTTCCCACCTTCTAGCACTCAGATGTCTCACCAATAAGTCTAGAGTCATCAATACTTCTTCCTTACTAGGTCTAATCAGCATAATGTCATCAATATAATGGACCAGTGTGATGTTTTGTGGAAGGGAAAGGCACTCAAGATTCCTATAGATTAAATGATGACATAGTGTTGGGGAGCTGATATACCCCTGAGGAAGCACTGTGGAAGTATATCGTTGGCCTCGCTAGCTGAAGGTAAACTGCTTCTGATGATTCTTTGAAATTGATATTGAAAAAAAGGTACTGGCCAGATAAGCAGCTGCATACCAAGTACCAGGAGAGTATTAATTTGCTCAAGCAATGAAACCACATCAGGAACAGCAGCTGCAATTGGAGTCACCACCAAATTAAGTTTACGATAATCCATTGTCATTCTCTCCAAGATCCATCTGTTGTGTTTTTTTTTTTTTTTTTTTTTTTTTGCACAGGCCAAACAGGTGAGTTAAATGAGGAAGTGGTGAGAATCACCACCCCTGCATCTTTCAAGTCCTTGATGATGGCAATTATGCCTACAATCCCTCCAGGGATGTGGTATTGCTTTTGGCTTACTATTTTTCTAGGTAGAGGCAATTATAATGGCTTCCACTTGGCTTTCTTTCAGGGTGCAGCTGGCAAAACTGAGGTCATTTATGCGGCACTTGAGCTGTGAGTCAGCTGCCCTGAACTCATCTCACTCTTTCACCACTTTGTCTAATGTATACTTAGACCAATCAACCAGCTTCATTATACTCCTCATGCTGATGAAATTGCAGAAAAGTATCAAACATATGGTCATCCATTGCCTCACTTCTCAAAAATACTTGATCTATTGGTGGTGCTATTTTGTGTATTAATATATTGCCACCTCATGCCATGGATCAGCAGGACCCTCTTTACTAATGAAGATAGAGTCACCAGTGCCTTTATGATTAATCAGATTGGAGAACCAAAGTAGAATTGGTGAGAACCAATTTAGGAAACCCATCCTTAGATTTTGTCTCTTTAAAACCACTTCTAGTACCAAATGTGTTAGGCTGGGTTCTCTAGAGAAAGAAAACCACTAAAGCTTAGAGAGAGAGAGAGAGAGAGAGAGAGAGAGAGAGAGAGAGAG